AGTCTGGCCATCTTTGCTTAGACTGCTGCCCCTGCGACCTGGTTCCGGATAAGCAGAGGGAGATGGATGGATGGATGGATGAATTCTGACTTTAAACTCAGAGCCAGAATTCTGAGAAAAAAAGCCAGAACTCAAATTTTGTCCAGTGGCCCTAATCCTTTTTTTTATATTTCCAGTGCATAGATGAATGTTAAGTTTAAACTGGTTATGCACATCCAGTACAATACACCAAAGAAGCATGTAGACAATCAAGAACACTCGTATGCACATAGCACAGCTACAAATGCTCAAACACATCCATGATCACATGTAGGCATTGATGAATGATGTCTCTCCTGTGCAGACAACAAGTCTCTTCCATTCATGGCCATGCTGAGGAACCTGAGGAACATGATCACTAGGGGCATCAGTGAGGCTCATCACAAGAAGATCCTCAGCAGACTGACCAATAAGGTGAGATCCAACAGAGTGAAGCATGCAATAAATACTTACTGTAAAAATCACAATACAAATGCAATTAGAGAAAGATTTTTAAAAAGCATGTTGACCTGTTTTGTGCCATTTTTAAAAGTTAAAGCAATAGTCACGTTTCTCTGTTTCAGTTGGTTGTTAACTCTGTTATAATTAAACCCTTAGAGCAGAGTTCATAAGTTTTCTGTGACTGCCTGTTCTTACAGAAAGCAGTTATTCAGAGCCGACAGTTTCCCTTCAGATTCCTCGCTGCCTACAAAGTCATCATGGAGCTTCACACTTTGGGTGAGATACACGTGCAGTATTGTGCAAAAGTTTTAGCCACTAAAAGTAAAGTGAGGATGCTTTAAAAAAAATAATGCCATGAGTTATTTTTAGTTATCAGTTAACTTAAAACATAGCACCTTGAAAACCCACTCCTATATCCACTTAAAGATAGGTTGCTCCAAGTACTTTGGAAAATCTACCACAGTTAATTTGTGGATCTGGCTGTGTCAGTGTCTTCTCTCTTCATGTAATCCCAGACTGACTCTGAAGTCTCTTAATTGCATCCACATTTCTATCACTCGGGTCTTTTCCTTGCATCTTATTTCCATCCATGTGAGACAAAGCTACAAGGAGAGACGAAACAAGGAAGGAAACATGTTTTTCAAGACATGACATTGTATCCTCTGATCCTTCATCTGAAGCAACTCAAATCACCAACTGACTTCCCATAAAGGAGTATCCAGTATAGGCTTCCATGAAAGCTATTCTTGCTCATGTGTCTGTGGAGGCCAGACCATCTGTAGGACTCCTTGTTGTTCCTGTCTCTGAAGACGACTCTTTGACTGTGGCTGAACATTGGGGCTGGTTGTCAGGCTGCAGAATGATCTTGGGACTGATCTGACACCTCCCCATGGTATCGCATGATGGAAAAGAATCTAAACATTTAAAGTACCTAAATACTTCACAGTATGTTACACCACATGGCACTGAAAACCTCTGACTGAAATTGGTGTTATCAAACTAGCAAAAAAAAATTTTTTCCCCCCAAATAGGGGTAAAGGTGTTGGTATGCTTCAAACAAAGTGCTTGTCAGATTGTCGAACAGCATCTGAAACCATCTGCCCTCAGACCTTTTTTACATAGGATTGTTTGGGCTAAATCATCAGTTTTGTACAGGTACCATGTCTCACTTTGATGGCAGACTTTTTACCCAGTGTTCAAGTGTTGTCACTCAGAATATAGGTATAAATATTTTTCCTTTAGCTGTGGCCTGACAACACTTTATATAACTACTGAATTTTGTCTCAGACATACCCTGGCCTTGACCCATCCAACTTTGTCTCCCTTATGTCCTTTTTAAATAAAAAAGAAACACATGTATAATAATTAAAGCTGTATGCAGAAAGTAGAACTGCACAGTGGTTTTACAGGCCTTTTATTTTCTAATATCAGCAGTTGAAGATATAATGTCTAACTTCAAATATTCCACCAGTTACTAGCCAAACTGTCAGCTAACATTTAAGTATAACTCGGCTTACATGTTTACATTTACAACAAAGAACGCATACATTATCTCCCTCCTCTTTGTCCTTTAGCTTCCACATCACAACAAAAACTTCCCCCTGTTAAGGAGATCCTGAAAGGCATCCTGAAGAAGATTCCCAAGAGCAGGCGCTTCAGAAAAAGCGATTGGTCGACAACCTCGAGGAGTAGGTTGAAGGTGACCCTGGGAGTGCCATTTATCTATCGAATATATCGAATGAAGAAGGCCCCGCTCCTAAAGGCCAAGTATGAGAATGTTATTTTTGATCTACCCGTGCTTGTTTTTCTCAGTTTTTAAAGTTTTACATGACTTTATAGGGATGTAATATGTGTAATTTCCTGATATCACAATAGAAAAATTTGTGGATACTATAGTGGGATTGTGACGACAGTATCTACCAGGATATTTAATGTTTTTTGCTAGTATAACTGCGTTCAGGTCACGGTATCTGAAACTGATATAGCTGATGCTCCAACGTCACCTTTTAGAGCTGTTGTGTGTCATCATTTCAGTTTTCCTGTTTCAAGAAATGACACGGACGGAAAGGAAACTCACAAACACATAACTACTTGCAGATACTGCAAGAAGTATTTTCTCTTGGAAAAGTAGACCATGATAAAAACACCTCCAGTAATACACAACTCACTTTGATGTGACTTGTCCTATTTGGCATCTTGTTTTTGTTCTGGTGCGCCAAGTAGCATTTTGTTCCCTACATCCCCCAGTGGTCAGTGGATAACTGCTTCAGCTGGTCCAGTACTGAGAACCTGACCACTGGTCGGTATGGCCACCAAACTAAAAAAGTTAGAGGTGGAAAGTAGTAATTAATTACATTTATTCAAGTACTGTACTTAAGTAAAGTTTTGAGTTATTTTCATTTTCTGCTACTTGATACTTCGACTTCACTACATTTAAAAAAAAAAAAAAAAAAAAAAAAAAAAAAAAACCTTTTTTCTCCCCTTAAAAAAAAAAAAAAAAAAATCACTTTGTACTCACTACATTTATTTGATAAATTTAGTTACTTTTTAGAATGAGGTTAATAAAACAATATGGTATAATCATAAGATTTGTTGATCGTTGGTGTAAAATTCACAAGCTACCAGGCATATAAGGCAACTAAAATGAGTTCTGCCAGCTGCAGCATTAAATGTACGCAATAATTTAATGATATAATAATCCAATGTGATATTCATCTGTGTAAACTGCCATTTTGCACAATGAGCACATTTACATTTTATGCGTATAATTTTGTACTTGAGTAACATTTTGAATGCAAGACTTTTATTTGTTACAGTATTTTTATACCTTGGTATTACTACTTTTACTTAAGTAAACAATCTGCCTACAAGGTAATAAAGCACTGATGTTCCACTGTTCACAAGATACAGCTGCTGCAGTAGTATTTGATTTTTTTTTTTTTTTTTTTTTTTCCTTAAAGGACTGCTCCTGAGTGCTGAATTATCTTTTATATACATTATACAATAAAATGCTTGTTATTTAAGAAGGTTTTTTTTTTTAAATATTTTCTCAATGTTTCAATATTTTGGTAAATATTGTATTATGGACCTTTTTAATGCTGCATAGAATGCAGTTCAATACCTCTTTCATGCTCATGCCTATCAAAGAAAAAAAATATGGCCTGCAAATTTTAAGTTCATTATTTTATTGGCATACATGTCATTTTTATCAGTCACTGCTTTGTATAGAACAGTTACTCGTAATATAAGCAAGCAGTTGATATGAGCTTATTTTCGGGGTCTTCACTGAGAATACATTGTTCTGGTACGGTTTTTTTAAAGTTTTGAGGAACAACAGCAGTTTGAACTTGTCATTTTAATTGGCTTCAGCAGTGATACCCACCATGTCTGAACAGGCAAAGAAAAGAGTAGCATCTACTGAAACTTAAACAGAAAATAAGTAGTAAAAGATGTCACTGAACTACAGATAATGCCTGAATGGTCAGCTCAGGAAGGTGTGTTTGGTCAGATCAGTTTAAAATAAAAAAAAAATACAAATTGACATGTGCATGATTTATAAGAACGTACACTTTGTCATATAATGTAACTGTTTTTGTGTATCCAGTCAGATGCAGTACACTGTTGCTTTGTTGGATCGTTACCGCAAAGCTCTGGAGACAGCGGTCCAGATCTCCTGTTGTCACAACGTGCCCCCGCTCCCTGGACGAACAATTATCATGCTCTCTTCTTGCATGAGTACTTGTTTGCAGAAACAGGACTTTTGCCTCCCACCAGATTCCGAGGGAGAAAAAGACGAGGAAGATGAAGATGAAGAAGAATTGGGGAGTAGAAAGAAGATAAAGGATGATGACAAGTTCGCTCCTTCTGTAAGGGGCCTACTTTCTTCTGACTAGCAAAAAGACCAAGGGCAGCTGATGTATGAACTGTTTGAATCAGTTCCAAAAACGATCAACTAAACCAGCGTCCGTTCCATTTTTATGTCCTCTCAGATGACGGAAGTGGCGGTTTTGCTCTCTCTAATGATTGACAGCAGTGCTGAGGATAGTCATCTCTTCTTGTACGACTGGAGTTGCGGTGAAGATGTCAAGCTGAAGTCTGATGTCCTTTTGGAAAATGTGCGAAGTGTCATGAAACAAATAAAGGTCAGGGTTTCTACACTGTTGTTCTGCATTTTGTGTAACTGTTATTTTCATACTCGTATCACCATGACTTTAGTTTTCATGTAGAGGGACTAAACAGAAGTGAAGTACTTTAACATCTAAGAGACAGTGTCATTGTATTAAGGATGGACACAACTGAATTATATGTCTGCACTGGTGAGCTTCATGTTGTGAAGCAAGTTACTGTTTGCTGAATTTATTCTTGGTTAGTTAATGGTGGTGTTCTCTTTCACAGGCATATGATGACAAGGACTGCAATTTCTACTCCAAATTACTGACCAAGAAAAACAAGGTTAGTTAATGGTGGTGCAGTGATTAGCACTGTTGCCTCACAACCCAGCAGGGCTTTTATGTTTAGAGTTTGAATGTTTCCCTGGGTTTTCTCCCAGTACTCCAGTTTAGGTTAATTTATGACTCTAAATTGCCCATAGGTGTGAATGTGAATCGTTGTCTGTCTCTGTGTGTTAGCCTTGTAATATACTGGTTACCTGTCCAGGCTGTACCCTGCCTCTCGCCCAGTGTCAGCTGGGATTGGCTCCAGCCCCCCAGTGACCGTCTACATGATAAACAGTGTAGATAATGGAAAAGTGATCTGTAAGGGTGTAATTTGCACTGACAATGAGGAGACATGTCTCCCTCACTTCTATAGTTTCAGGCTGATTTTCCTACTAAAGTGTTCTTGTGTTGCAAAGACAGTACTACAGCGTCATCTATCGGTATCTGTAAAGGACACTATAAATAAGTAGGCTTTGTGCCTGAACATATTTCTATTTTGGACTGGAACTGCAAGTCCAGAAGTACAGGTCTGAAACCAAGGGCCTGGGTTTGGTTTCAACATTGGTAGGAACACAACAGCCCCCCACTCCTACCCATCATCAATCAACCCAATTACTTTAGCTCTGGATGGTGAAGAGACTCCTTTTGTCTCTGCATCCTTTTTTTTAGTGGAATAATATCTACAAAGGATGAGACGTGGCATGAACAAAATTGTCATGTGTGCTGTGGAGTGCAGGCAGTAAAGGAAAGTGAGTTAGTAATCTGAAAGACAAAATTTTTTTCCTATGCGTGAGGTATAGACCTGCAGCCCTGATAACATACTGCTGCAGCACATTGACCACCAACTATTCAAATGTGAGCATGTCTTGCAGATGTAGCCTCAGGGAGGGAACAACAGAATGATCTAATATGACATCACTCCAAAGATTATGTGCACGCCATGGCTTTGCTCAACTATTGGTAGGGACACTCCTGTCCTCCCAAAACTAGTTCCTTGTCTGAAACTGCTGTCACTGAGGCTCTGTACTGTAGTTGGATGATATCAGCTGAAAAAAATACCTGGCTTTCTGTTGCGTCACATCACTGACACTGTGCGTCTTTGTTAAAACATGTGAAAAGCGTTCCTGTAGATGGCAGTACAGATTGCTTCTTTGTGATCGTTGAGCTTTTGTATCTCAGGTTGACAACATCATCATGCTGAGTGACAAGTGGAACAGTAGTGATATCGAGCAGACCATCAACAGATACAGGGAGGAAGTAAACAACAAAGTTCTTGTGGTGCAGATCTTCTTGGGAGAAGGGTAATGCTTTATTTTTCTATGTGTGTATGTGCTATTCTGCATTGATTACATAGACATATTGGGAAGCTAATAATGACAACAGGTTGGTGGGATTCTCTGATTTCTCTGTTGTCTTTTTAGCATAAACATGTACTTTTCGTTTTGTTAATAAGGTGCACAGGTGTGCAAAAGAGTAGACCTGGTTCCTGTCTCTAACTAATCATGAACACATGTACTGTTGTGTTGACTTGCTACAGAAACCCCAGAAACCCAGAATACAATGACAGGAACTGTGTGAGGCTGAGTGGCTTCAGTGAGCAAATGCTGAGGTAAAATGTCTGGTTGCTGATTTTCATCTTAAAGCTGAGTGTATTTTTATAAATGTAAGAGAGGTCAAGCCTAGTGGCAGTAAAGCAGACTCCTGGCTTTTTGTTTGATATAATGACAATAACTTATTGTTTTAAGGAATCATTTGTTGTTTTAGGATACCACTCTTGTATCTGTTAAATGTGAAGCTGAGGCTAACAGCCAGTTAGCTTTGCTTAGCATAAAACCTGGAAACGGGGAAACAACTTTCCTGACTGTACAAAGATGACAAAATCCATCTACCTGCACCTCTAAAGCTCACTAATTAACACATTATGTATTGTTTGTTTCAAAGCTCAAGTGTATACACGACCAGTAACTTGGTGTGCTAGGCTAGAAATAGTCACATAAGGGCACATAATCCATTAAAATGGTGAACTGTCAGCTTTACACTTGTTTTTGTACAAATTAGATATAACATGTTAATTAATGAGCTTAATTAATAGTGCTGATGGGTGGATTTTGTTACTTTTGGATATAGCCAGGCTAGTTTGTCTCTTGTCTCCAGTCTTTATGCTAACATAAACTAACTGGCTCCTGCTTCATATTTACCCTACGTGAGAGTGGTATTGATCTTCTCAACTTTTCCAAGAAAGCATACATTTCCTAAAATGTTTAAATGTTTCTTTTAATTATGTGATCAGGTTTGTGGCAGAACGAGGATCCTCCAGGCTGCTGGACCATGTGGAGAATTTGGACAAAGTGTACAACATCCCACCACTACAGGGAGCTAAAGGCACCGAGACCGCAAACAATGTCATACCAATACCAGTTAGCCCCAAACTAAGGTAACTTTACTTAAAGCCCCTGGAAAATTGTCCTTGCATCTTAAGTATTTTTGTAACATTGAGTATTAATGATAAACAACAAAGTAAATAAAACATTATTTACTTGTATTAAAGATTCTAATACTGAAATCCAACTAATTTGATTTATCAGGACAGCGTCTGTTTTGACCAGATTTAACTGACAGTGATAAACCAGGTCACCGACTGTCATCAGATTTAAATGTTTAGAAAAAGATACAGAAATATCACAAGTGAATGACTAAAGGTTTTCTAATTTTGGCAGTGGAATAAGCACATAAATCATGGGAGGCAGACTTCCTATTTGATTCTCCTATGTGCAGATGCACCTGTTTTGGTTTTTTTACACTTTAAATTAAACTATCAAGGACATATTTCCTGCCTTTTCCTCATTAGTTCAACTCCAGCTCCTTCCTCTGTCCTCAGGTGGCAAGGTGTGCGAGTGTTCATCTCCTCCACCTTCAGAGACATGCACGGCGAGCGTGACATGTTGGTGTGGCATGTCTTTCCAGAGCTCCGCCGCCGCGCTGCGTCACACTGCCTCTACCTGCAGGAGGTGGAGCTGCGTTGGGGTGTGACAGAGGAGGAGTCGGTTCGAACCACTGAGCTGTGCCTGTCAGAGGTGTGTCGCAGCCAGATGATGATAGGAATCCTGGGGGAGAGGTACGGCTTGGTGCCCCCCAGACCTGTCCTCCCCGACCTGCCGCAGTACAGCTGGGTAAATAAAATTACACATAGAATTAATAAGTGGAGCTGTGGAAACAGTGAGCTCAGTACAATGCTGTGATTGTGTACAAGAAAAACAGCCTTTCTCAAATTAGTCTTTCCAGTTTTACATACAATGAAATCAAATAAATCAGGGAATCTGCAGGTGTTAAAAAGCATTGATTTAGATTTCCTAAAAAGTCTTACATTTCATTTACACAGGTCTTAATTATTTTTCTAGCCAGCTGTAAGTAATGTTAGTTATAATATGTTTTAGCAAAACCTGGCTGAAAGATCTCTAATACTATTATTCCAGACCTCTGACCTTATATGTGTCAGGTCCGCTCGGCGCGGCCTGCCTCTCTTCCTCCTTTCTCTCTCTCAACCTGCGGGATCGGCACCTCTGCTGTGTTGCATTTGGTAATGAATGACTCGTTTGTCAGTGCGCACAGCTGGGGTGCATTCCTGTGATTTCCTGCTGCTTTATTTAAACCTCTGGCAGATGCTCCGTCTTCGCCGGAGCATTACCTGTAGATATACCTGTATTCATGGTATGTGTCAGATGTCTTTCTGATTTCCACGCTGACAGTTCCTGTGCTGTGGTTTTCTTTTGTACTTTGTTTCCATGTGTTTAGGCATGCGTAATTGAGTTCAACACTGACAGTTCCTGTGCTGTGGATTTCTTTTTTTTTTCGTTCGCTACTCTGCTTTTCTGACGGCGTTTGCTACTCCTCCTGGTTGTTCTGTTTACTCACCTGTCCGTCCTAGTCCTCTAACTCTCCTGGTTCCTGGCGTTGTTCTGTCTACTCATCTGCTCGTCCTGGTCTCCTCAGTCGTCTCTGCCCTACCCTGGTTCAGTATTGTATGTATACATTGACTCCGTTACTTTGTGTTGCCACCATTAAACCACCTTTTTTTTTTTTATTAGCACCTGGGTCTGCACTCTTGAGTCCTACCTCAGTTCTCCCTCACCCTCCTGGTGAGGGGGACTAAACCATAACAATATTTGTATAATTTTTTCAATGTTGTTTAAATTAAATATTATA